CATTTGAAGGCAAGGAGCAAAGATCTCAGAGGATCATGGGCAGGTTAATCTATGCACCATGGTATTCATAAGGCAAAGACAGAGGAAACAAAGAAATTATAAAAGGTAGGTCTTTCTTATAATTATAAAATGTTAAATGATCTAAGATCTCATTTGAGGGAATGGGAAAGAATAAGCTGAGGAAAAGTATACAGAATAAACGCTTCAGAAGTATCATAAAAATAAAATGATCAAGCATCTTTTAAGGTTTATCAAATATACCAAGGATAAGCAGAATCATTAAAAATGAGTCCTACATCCTACATCCTTTTAAACAAAACGGAACAACTCTCTTCAAGCTCCTTCCCACTCTCAGCTGATGACAGAAGAGAACGGTTCCCCCAAGTGGAAATTTGGCTTCCGGAAGCACTTCCTGCCCCACCACCCACAGTGGTCTTTTCTTCTCATCTTGGATCAAAGGTCACTTCCTAGAAGCTTTGCTGTCTGGGAGAGGCTCCCTAACTGCCTTTAGCTCCTACCCCCAGTTCACCTTCGAGGACTTCCTCTGTGGCACTCTAGCATTCCAAACTCAGCAAGGGATGCATTTCTGGATGTTTCCCTCCCCTTGAGAAGCTTGAGGAGATCTATGAGGAGAGGGCTTCATGCCTTACTCACCACTGTGTCTCAGGATCTCAACTCTAATGCCTCTTTAGAGTTGGGAGAGAGGGCCATACCACCTACCACCACCATCATACACATAAACTAAAAAACACAAATGACCCAGAGACTCCTCCCCAGAGCCTACATTCCAAATGGGCCATCCTCTGTGGGTCACGCTCCTTCAAAGAGTAGTCTGCCCTCATCTCGACTTCCTCCATCCCCTTTGATTTGCAGCCTTTGTAACCTGGCCTCCTATCCTAAACCTGCTCTGGATTAGACACCTTCTAATAGCCAAACCCAACTGACAACTTTCTGCTCACTGTCTCTCTTGCATTGAACACACCTGTCCTCCTTTGGTTTCCCCAACACTGATTTTCCTCCTCTCTTCCTTGCTGTTCATTCTGTGTCTCCTCTCTACCTGGCTTCTGTCTCTGTTTTCTCTGTAAATATCGAGGCTTCCGTAAAATTCTTATCCTGGGCCCTAAAAATGCTTCACTCTCTGGGCAGTTGTATCCACCCTCACAATTCAACTACTACCTGTTCAATGAAGAATACACAGGCTCTACTCTCATCCCAGGTCCCTCTCTCCCTACAACACCAGCCCCATACTTCCAACTACCTACAGGGGGCCTCCACCTAGAGGTCCCATAACTTCCTCAAGATAGCTGAACGGCAGAGCTGGGGTTGGAAATTAGATTTGTCTCACGCTAAAGCCTTATCCATTCTCCTATACAATATCCTTCCTATTATAACTTATCACACAGCGTTGTAATTGCTGACTTTCTATCTGTCTCTCCCAGGAGAGAGTGCCTCATGGAAGACGGGAATTAAATTGCATTCAACTCCACATCCCGAAGCCCAACATGGTACCTAGCACACAGGACACAATAAAAGCTTGTCAGATGAATGAAGATAAGAGCGTCATCTCGTTCATTCCTACATCCCAGCACATAGTAAGAGTTCAATAAGAGATTGGTGGATAAAACAAAAAGGAAGATGCTATAGAAATGAGAAATTGAAAAAAATTAAAACTCCATATTAATGGAGAATAAAAATAATGTTTTTTTGGGGGGAGGGAGAAGCTTCAAGATTTTCCATTATCTATCTAGTTGCAAATATGTTCACAAAACAACATATCTACCCATCAAATACTACAATTGTATTTGTATTGTTAATATTATTAATCATTAAATTAATTTTAGTCATCAATACAATTAAATTTAAAACATTTTATTAAAATATTACAAATATTACATACATATGTCACCTTTATTAATTAAATCAATCACTCTTTAGAAAATCAAGACTAGATTTATGCTGCTGGTATTAAGAAATCAAACACTTAAAAATGTGAATTTTAATTACGGCTTCTATATTTTGTTCCTTTGTTTGTTTACCCAAATACATTATGGTTTGAAGGCCAAAGTCTAGAAAAAGAATTCTTCCTTGCTGATTTCTCATGTGTGAGGTCTAGATGAAGATCTTTATACTATTTGTATTTTAATCCCTATTTTCATAAAGATATTTAGTTTTAACATGTAAAAAACTATGTTCTAACTTGTGACTTGGTTTTTAAAAATATTGTTAATACTCAAAGCTTTTATGATTTTTGAAAAACAAACAAACAAAACGTGTTTGAACACTACTTTGATAAGCCAGATGTGTACTGCCAGCCATTAGCTAACTTATCTGATAAGCCCAGGGCTGCCCTGAGGTAACCTGTAGGCTGTTGTTATTTTGTATTGTGTAAGTTATTTATTTCCTATGATATACTCAAAAACTTCCTCACTTCTGACCTAGCCTTCCAAAATTCCTCATTGGTCAAAAATTGACCTTTCTTCACTCACTACAGTTCTATACCTGTGTCAATTCAGGCTCCAACATACCACCCATTAGCCCCACTATCCCTGTGAATTTCTCACTCTAATGCAGGACAACAGTAAATGACACATATTTTCAAAATTAGCTATGTCACTGTATCACATTAGCATGGATATAAAGAGCTAACTATCCCAAAAACCAAAACTAAACTAAACAAACCCCACAAATGTCTACACACGTACAAGTCTGTTGAATTCCAAGGAAGAAAGTTAAGGTAAATAACCTCTATCTGGCAAGCAAATTTGCTCACATTTGAAACAGAATTTTCTTATCTCAGTCACTTGGTCAGAGGAGTAATAAAATCTCCCCCTGATTTCTGACTTGCTTCTCTAGAGGATATCAACTCTAGCTGTTAGGGTGTGAACGGAGGGTTCTGTTTCCAGGTCTCTCTCTCAATTCCTCAGCATCAGACTCAACTGGAAACACAAGTTCTAACCCAATGGTCCACATCTCTGAACTCTTACTTACAAAACCAACAAAACTATCATTGTCTTACAGAAAAAGGAATCAAACACACATGCTCTGGATTAAAAAGTTCACATGGATAAATGCAATTACATTAGTTCTGTATCTATTTCGTTTTAATGCTCCAGAAAAGCATGAGTCTACGCGTATCTTTAGTAAGAGAAAAACATTAAGCAGGACAGTCTTAGTTTGAATATTATGATAAATGGAAAGCTTAACACCCTTTTCATTCAAGTATCTAATCGATTTGCATCCTATTTGTTACTATAAATCCTGCCACATTCTTTCTGGCTTAAGAACACTAGATGATGCGTGGATTGGTAAGGACCACACCTCCTGCAAGATAACACCAAGGGTAACGTCTTCCCAAGGAAATTCCCAGCCTTTTCAAAGCTCAATTGTTGCAATCAATTCAGCTGTTAGGTTTAGAAATACATTCTGCGAGCTTCTCTGAGCATAGGAGGAGCTTTTGGTCATGAGGACTGTTACCCAAAGAATCTGATGAGAGCCATTAAAATCAAGGGCCTCCCGGTGTCAGGAGCCGCTTTTGCTAATAACGTTAAAAGCAAAGGCAGACAGACAATTTTTTTCTCTCTCAATTCTGAGAGGGGCTAACAAAACTCTTTACAAGAGTTGATGAGTTAGAGATGAGGCCTAAAACTCATTTCCATGTCAGAGTCCCATGCAATTGAGAGGGTGCTACTGCTCAGGTAGTTAATATTCATAATATCTGCATGTTTTACCTGACTAGTACTTCCACTTTGAAAATTTATTAGAGGATTGAGTCAAAGCAGACCAAATGTCCTTTAAAACACTAACAACCCCTGCCCCTCAAAATAAAAACTCCAAAAGTAGATCTACTACATAAGCACAGCCATAAGGTGAGTCAAGCTGATTGTCATTTTGACCTTGCTTTGCTTTAATTCAGGAATCTATTTAGAAATGTAACGAGCACTCCTCTTCATTCGGCTCAGCTAGCAGAGCTAATAGGCTTCTAATTAATTTCCAGAAGATGGCTGTTATAGCTAACAGGTTTTAAACATTTGGTTGATTGGGGAAAATGAATTGAATATAATGTATTTGATTTGGAAAATTAGTTTTCATTCTATGTGCTTACCATAATAGTGTTTATTTTAAGTTTACATGATTCCATTAAGAGTCCCAGAACACCACCAGGTTGTTTTCATCCTGACAGTCCTATCCAACTTAAAAAAAAAAAAAAATCAATTTACATTTTGATTTTTGTTGGCCTTTATTTGAGGACAGGTTGAATTCATTTTTGTGGCTTTAATAAAAATCTTTGCTTGCTAATATAGCAACAGGCCCAAATACTTCAAAATGATCCCTGTGATACCTCAGTCAAAAGCTCCACTCATCGAATGCAAATCCTCTGGAAAAAGGCTTCTGTTCACAAAGTAAGATGAACCAGTTACTTCATTGTTTATGAAGTTTCACTTGATTCCTCCTGACAGCCATTTAAACAATGAATGTTGGGAAATGTCCCTCAAAGAATCAACAACAATGGCCGGGATCAGAGCTTTTCTATTTAGCTAGTACTATTTTTAAAAGGAGAAAATATTTCTTCCTGAAGGGATTATGGGACGCCTTATTAAAGACACCTGCACACAAAACAAGTGACAATAGATCTTCATCATAATTGATAACTGAGTTATCCTTTATTACAAAAGCTCCTTTCTTGGAGACAATAACATCAAGATTTACCTTTGCTATGAGATTCAAGGAATCAGCTAATTGGGACTACTGGTATTCAACAATGATAAGATCCACCAAGATTGAATGAGAGGATAATAAAAAGACCCTTGTCTCTCAGGTTAAAGAACAGCGAGGCTAGAATTTTCTCTCCTCAGGCTGAGGATGTTTTATACTGAAATCAGGTAGCACCTATCACTGTCTCTCCATCTATCCTGCAAAAATATATGAGGGATTCTACTTATGAGGGCGAACTTCGTGCTAAGCACAGGCCGGCCAGCTTTGGACACTCAACCTTGGCCTACCTGGCTGTTGCAAAGAAAGAGAACTTTTCACAAAATCTTCTCAAACTGATTATCAATCACATCAAATGTGACACTGTTTTAATGGAAGATTGCTTCTTAGAGATAAATGACATAGCTAAACGCAGGAGGACACATTTATAAAAATAAGCCTGCAGAAGAGAAAAGAAAATCAGACATCTTTGTTTGCAGTGAAAGTACTGTACCTGAGTCTCAGCTTACTTCCTGTTGGTAACAGTTGATACCTTTACCCATGAGCTATGATGTTTGAAGTCAGATATTCACTGCTGGCATTTCTGTGTGACTAACAAGAATGCCTGTAATCATCTCAGGCCTATTACTGATTTCTCTGACATAGCTAATTTCCCAAATTAAGTAATTCTGGCTCCTTTTATAACAGTGGCTCCAGAAGAAATAAAAAGATAAAAAAATAAGAGGTGGGCCCATCGACATCAAACCATAATTGCACACCCCAACTGTAGGTAGCATTTCTACTTCCTGGCCTTAAAATGAGTTCATGAGTCTACTGTAAACTGGCACTTAGGAAAAGTGAAAAAGGTTCATGAAGTATTAGCAACAGCAGCTGCAATCTTAGAATATGGGCAGCTTTTGATTAATGCATTTCATTTCCAAAATACACACTTAGAAATGAAGAAGTCCTCCAGCCTGCATCACTAAAAAGTAGACAGAATTAAACAACAGAAACAACATGCCACAGGAGCAACAGTACTAAATGAGGAGATGAGAGATGAGGTGACCCAACGATATTCTTTAAAACCTCAAGATCACAGACAAAACAAATGCTTTATACAAGGTATTTCTGTGGGATTGCTGGTTTTCCTTAAAAAAGACACCTTAAGACTTAGAGCAATCAATGTGTGAAAGAAAAGCTGCCTAGAAAAACAAAAAGGACATTTCTGAGATGACTTTGATCCTGTACTCAAATTATTGGCTTAAACGGACTTGCCTTTAAAAGCTTTGCATCTGCAATAACTGCTCCCTATTGTCCTTGTTAACAAAGTATTATTTTCACCTTATTATTACTAATCTTTTCTTTGTAAGTAACCACACCTGGTTTTTATCCACACACACACACAAAAAAAAAAAACGGTGTGGTAAATATTTTTCTCCTTTGTGGTAATACAATGCATAATTTAGTTAATCTAGGCTATCTTTCCGTGAGAGGTGATTGTTTCTATATTATGAAATGTGCTCACAGTAAAGTGAACTCCACGCCAGATACCTGGAAGGCAGGTGGAGAACCACTTACCAAGCATGTAGCTGCTTCGAACCAACCTTGACATGACTGTGTGTAGCCACTCCTACACACGAGGTATTACTCATGTTAACTTAGCCTCCGAATCATCGCCACACCTTTCTTTGACAAACATGGTATTTTATTAAGATAACATGACACACTGCCAGGCTGAAATGCCCACCCTTAGCCCCCATGAGAGGCCTTAGAAAATAAGCAACTTCCATTTTCTGTTTGAGAACTGGACATTACTGTTAGTTTACCTGGATGAAATCTAGAAATGTCAGGGGCAGGAGGTCATCCATATGTCCAATGTCTTTGGAGAAACGATTTAAAATTCTTCCTGTAATGTGAAAGGATATGAGAAATTACTCATTTCCCCAGACAGATCCTTCAAGAGAAACAATTCACAAACAAATCAAAACAATATTTTAAATGCATATGTATTTAATATGTTACACATTCATATGAAATAAGCCAATGTCAGTGGTAAAATAAAATAAAATAAAATAGGATAATACCTAAAGAGAAACAAAAATATCACCAAATAGCAGTGGGTGGAGAGCTGAAATTTGGCCCTGATTTTTTAAAGAATAGGGGGGGAAAAGTCTTGTGACAGTATTGGAAAACATTGGTGGATTTTAGAAGGTTCCCTCCTTTTAGACCCCATGTAAAACTTCAATCCACGTGCTAAATATAGGTAAATAAACAATTGCAAAATACACAAATAAACCTAATTGTTACACTAACTTGGCTTTAGCTATCAGAAATTAATTTTGCTAAGTAGTATGTTTTAAATAAATGTAATTATTTATTTAAATAACTTTTCCCACCCAGGATAGTTCAAGGAACCTCACATTTTGTAAAAATTTGGAATCCTGCCATTTTCAAATTGTGAGTTTACTACTGGGGTAGTAAGTCCTTATTTTCAGAGGTGCACCGGGTATGACAAACACAGACTTACTCCCTAAAACATCCAAGAAGAAGAATAAAGGTAGGAAAACAAATATTATTTAATGATTAAAGATCATTTCTTATCACTGATTTCACTGATTTTATTTCCCCCCTCAGAATCCAGGAAAACAATATATTCTAAAGGCTTCAGAATTGGAAGATCAGAACTAATTTCTAATAAATATCATTTCTCAAGTGATTTAATTCAAAAAAATTAAAGCCACACACACATACAAACAGAGCTTCTTCTGGTACAGGCAACTCCTGAGTCATGTATTTATCTAGACCCTACACTTCTGTAACTGATGCTTCGGGAAACCAGACTGCAGGTGAGATAGATGTGGGGCTTTTAGGTGCTCTTCCCAGATTCGTCAGAGGTGACTTCCGCTGAGGCCTTTCATACCAAGCCACAACTGGAACGTGAATGGCCAGAGGCTGAGCTTCCAGTTCTGGAGAAATGCTGCCTCTGCAATCCTCCCACGAGGCACCTGGGCTGGGCTAGGTGGCACAGGTGTGCCAAGCCAGGAGCTGGAGCAACTGGAGGCTTTCCCGCTTGGCCAGGCCACGCCACTACACGCAGGGCCGCGACTTTCCTGTCTTAGACTTAGAAAACACAGACTCCAGAAACCACCGTTTTGTGACACCTTTGGAAGGCCCGCAACAACTTTTCTGAGCCTCCAATAATACCTCCTTCAGAGCCTAATTCTGAGGATTAAACGGGCTCATGTGTGTGAAAGAACCCAGTCACAATGCCAGACACGAAAACAGAAGCTCAAAACGAGTCAAATAAACCAACAAAAGCCCCAAGGTGAAATAGTAATATTACCCACAGGTTCTGCAGCATGACTGTCACCTGAGAAAGTCTACTGGGCACTGTCTTGTCAGGTGGTCGGTTGGTTCAAATGCAGGTTCTCACTCAGTAGCTTCAGGGAGGAGCTTGAGGTTCTGCATGTCTACCAAGCTCTTAGAAACGGCTTTCTGCGTTTCCCAGACCACACTTTGCGGGGCAAGAGGTTCAGGTATTATTTCACCAGTTGTAATTCAGGAGCATTAACATCAGCTGAGCCATTTTGCACATATTCTCATGGATTCTGTGGCCTAGCTAGTTATTTTTTAAGTTCTCAAAGTATCAATAGCAAAATAAGGAAAATATATGTCAAAAAATGTTAAAGACAGTTTAAGTGCTTGTTATTTCTTCAACAGAAAAGTACACATTTTTAACACAGGCAGGATTCAGAAGCAATGCAAGTATGGTTCAGCTTTAAAACTGTTGAAAGCAATTGTAAAATTAAAAAAAAAAAACATGAAAAAAGCTACACAGAGATAACAATACGTGAAACCACCTTTTTACCTTTTACTAGATGTGGGAGTCTTAAGGTCTGAGACACCCATGGTTGGGAAACAGTGTAAAATATAAAGAAAACACATAACTGAGAAAAACCATCTCCCTGCACGGCTACTATAATCACTCAACTGAATGTCCAAGATGGTCAAAAACTAAACTTTTATTCACCAACGAGCTGAGTATAGAAAATGTGAGATTAGAAGGTTCATTAGTTACTTCCTTGCTCTAAGAAACAATTAAGAGAATGAATGATGTTTGCAGGATATTTCATCTGATTTTGTGACAGTCTGTTGTAATCAGAGCTGTGATTTCAAGTTCACGGCCTTGTAGTCAGTGTCTCAAAGGTCTCCACATCAAATCCTCATGATGAATTCCCTTCACCCACATGCCATGTCTCCTCACCCAAATGCCATGTGGTCACTGCTGGAACATCTCCAGGGATACAGATGGAAAGGGGATTTGCTGTGAACGGCGGGGGACCCAGTCCATTTTCAGACTGTTCTCTTAGGCACGGCTTTCTTACATTAAACCAAATCTTGCTTTCCTGGAACAGCCAACGTCGGCTGCTTATTCTGTCTGTATAACCATGCGGAGTAAATCTAATTTCTCTTGACAGGACAGCCCTTCCTATGCTTGAAGAAAGCAAATCATAGCCTTTCCAGGCTTCTCCCCATCAACCAGTGCTTGGTACCTCAATTATCCCTCATAAGGCACAGTGTCCCCTCTTGGCCATTGCTCCTGCCCAGACTCAGATGGTCAGTCTCCGTTAATGTCTTGTGCCCAGGATTGAAATTAATACCCCAGGTATTGTTTGATCACCTCGGGGTAAAGTGGGGACACCATCTCCCCATTCTGTACAGGATCTAGCCAATCACGAAGCCAACAATCACGGTAAATTCTGGCGGCCAGATCACTTTTTGGACACAAACAAGTCTGCAACAAGTCTGTAATGTAGTATGTGCAATTTTAATTTTTTCTTGACGTTCTTACTGTTCTACAATGACTATGTATTACTTGTGTTTTTAAAAAAAGTGTAGAAAGGGGAGAGAGAGGGTTGAGTGGGGTGAAGGGAGGAAGGTGGAGGGGTAGTGGAAAGGGGAGACGGGGGACGTAGGAGGAAAGAACAGGGAGAAAACAGAGGGAGGTGTCTTCCTTAAAGTCCATACCATTAGTGAACCACTCAGGATCCTCCCAACTGCTCTGGTTCACATTTTTCAATCTTGTCCACAAGATAAAATGCCATGAAACATGTCATCAAACATCTTGTCAAAGTACAAATTCATTAGTGATCATATTTTAAGAACTGATTTAACAATCTAAGCTGGAATTCTGACACCTCTCCCATATCTAGGATTCCTCAGCTTACTTATACTCAAACTATAATTTAAAACTTGGAAGTTCCCACGTCTAGTTTGGGCCCTATTCCTTTCTTTCTTTTTTTCAACAAAAAGGGAGGTATACTTACATATCAAAATGTTGAGGCATATTTTTATTGAGGTATATTTTACAACTTAAAAAAATTTACCCATTTCAGGTGTACAATTCTCTGAATTTCAGTAACCTAACTGGGCAATGCAACAATCACCAAAAATCAATTTTAAGACATTTTTATCCCCCCATAAGACCCCCCCATGCTATTTACAGTGACTCCCTATTTCCCACCCCCAACTTCAGGCAACCACTAATCTACTCGCTTTCTCTGTAAATTTGTCTTTTCAGGACACATTATACACATGGATTTGTACAATATGTGGTCTCTGTGTCTGGCTTCTTTCGCTTAGCCTAGTTTTTTGAGGTTCATCCTCGATATAGCATGCGTCAGTAGTTCCTTCCTTTTGAGCCCCATTCTCTACCATGAAAGTGATCTTAGGTATCAGCAAAACAGACCCGACATCAGGCCACACCACACCTAACCTTAGGGTAAGAGCAGATGTGTTCTATGAACTCTTCGATATTGTGAACTTTTTTTTTTTTAAGATTTTTATTGGGGAATTGAGGGGATGGGAACAGTGCTGGGGAATTGGGGGAAGGGGAACAGACAAGTTGCTGTCCTTTTGTTCTTCAGTCTAGTTGTGGAGGATGTTGCTTCACTGGCCCAAGTTGGCACCATCATTGCGCTCTTCCCGGGCGAGGCAGATCAGTCGCCGGCTTCTGGACGGCCGCTCACGCTGGCTGCTGGCTACACACGGTAGCCCATGGCAACCCACTGCCACAGGGGCTGCAGCCTACGCCGTCGCCGGCGACTCACGGCAGCCCAGCTCCAGGTTGAGCTGTTGTTCAGCATCTTAGCTGTAGAGGGCAGTGTCACTGGCCCTCATATGTGGGATCCGAACCAGGGCCTTCTGGCATCCCAAGTCAGTTCTTAACCATCGCGCCACTCGGCCAGCCCTGAACTTCTTTATATGTGCCCACGTTTAGCTTCACTGATTGTTCTAGAATCCAATGCTTTCGGTAAGAATGGGCCATTAGTGTGATTGCCCTACAGAGTCCAAAGCCAGGAGTGCTGGGTCTGAGCCAGGCTCTGAATCCGGGAGAGTGTGCAAGGGTAAGTAAAAGAACCACTGTCCTGGTGAAAGGTGGAATCCAACTCCAAGCAGCCTATTAAAGAAAAGGTCAGAGTCCCTCTAAAAGGGCAAAGAGAATGACCTGTACCTTTCAGGTACAATGTCATGTGATGGACAAAACTAGTCCAAAGGAGAGGGTGTTTGATAGAGCCCAGAGATGGCCACTGGGCTGAACGGATCACTGTGTACATGAGGGAGCTGTTATATGACCCGAGCAAACCTGAACTTTCTACAAGATTCTACACCAACTAATTCAGCTTAGACCAGAGAAAGAACAGGAGCAGGAGCTGAAGAAGTCTGGGAGCTCAACATTTCCATTGCCTTTGATGTTAAAGTACGTCATCAACATGGTGGCCGCTCAAAGAATGTCATGAAACAGAAGAGCAGGAATTAGGAAACCATTGCTGGAAAAACCAGAGAGAGCCCCTGTCCTCTAGAGCTTAGTAGTAACAGACCTTTAGGCAACTCATCCAACCTCCA